ACACCCACCTCCAGAGTACAACCTGAGGCCAACCAGGTCTAGAGGTAGAGGCCGAGGTGAAGGAAGAGGCAGGAGGTATAATCGTGGTCAATCGTTAAACTAATTCAGCCTACTGCTGCGGGGCAAGTGGAGGCTGAACACAGGACTAGCCCCTCATTGGATTTACATCAGAGAATGGTCGGCAAGGCGAATATAGCTATAGGCCCTATCAACATTGATGGTTCTGACTGTCCCGCACTATTAGATGCAGGATCCATGATTACCACAGTTTCAGAAGGATATTACCAATCCAGTCTTAGTCATCTTCAACTGAAGGACCTCAAAGACTTTGAAGTGAAACTGGCAGGTGATTATGTGCTTCCATATTCAGGGTACATCGAGGCTAGGATCTACATCCCCTTTGTCGATACAGAGTATCTGGTACCTAAACTCGTTACCACCAACACTGAGGTCAACAAGGATGTACCACTCGTACTTGGAACCAACGTAATTGATTTAGTTGAGATGCAAATGAAACCACCAGACACCGACATTCCAGCACCATGAATAACAGCACTGCGCTCTCAGGCTGTAGGAGGAATACTTGGCCAAGTCAAGTCAACCAACAAACTTCCTATCCGCATTTATCAAAACCAGATGATGACCATCTGTGGCCTTGTCAGACACGCTCCAGGAAGATCCATGGCTGTCACAGAACATAATGACTTGGACACAGACTTACAGACTGGATTATCTGTTTGCCCAAGACTAGTAGAGATTGGTAAGAGAGGTAGACTCTCCAGAGTACCAGTCAGAATCTGTAATCTATCAGCTCGAGTCATCACCATTCCTGCCAAAGCAAAACTATGTCAACTTCATCAGGTACGTGTGCTCAGCCACGTACCAATCGATGCACTGCCCACGAGGACTCGTCACAAAGAAGATGTCACTACAGCTCCAACTGTTAACATTGACCTTACAGACTCATGTCTGACAGAGCAACACAGGAACACAGCTAACACTTTGCTCTAGAATTGGGATTGTATTATGTCAAAGAGCCTTTTGGACTTAGGACACAGTACTACCATCCGACATGGGATCAAGCTTAGAAATGATACTCCCTTCAAGCAGCCTCACAGACGAATACCTCCTGGGATGTTTGAGGAAGTTAGAGAGCATCTTCTTGAAATGATAGCCTGTGGAGCCATTAGGGAATCCCACAGTCCATATTCATCCAACGTTGTCCTTGTGAGAAAAAAAGATAGGTCTCTGAGATTCTGTCTAGATTATCGCCGCTTAAATGAACGGACCATTAAAGATGCCTACGCCATTTCAAGGATAGAAGAAACTCTGGATTGTCTTTCTGGTTCTTCCTTGTTCTCAAAGCTGGATTTACGCTCGGGATATTGGCAAGTGGAGATGAAGGAAGATGATAAGCAAAAGACCGCATTCTCAGTAGCCCCACTTGGATTCTACGAGTGTAATCGGATGCCATTTGGACTCCGGCAACCTTTCAACGACTAATGGAAAACTGTATGGGCGATCTTAATCTGAAAGAATGTCTGATATACCTGGATGACATTATCATCTTCTCCAGCACTTTTGAAGAACCTTTGCAACGTCTGGAAGCTGTATTTCAACGTTTGAAAGACAACGGATTGAAACTAAAACCTTCCAAATGTGAATTGTTCAAGGACCGAGTACAGTACTTGGGACATGTGGTATCTGTGAACGGAATTGAAACAGACCCGGACAAGATTGCTGCACTCAAGGACTGGCCAATCCCCAAGGATGTTAATGATGTCAGAAAATTCCTAGGATTCACTGGGTATTACCGCCGCTTTGTCAAGAACTTTGCCAGAATTTCTCGACCCTTAAATGATCTCCTGAATGGACAGCCAAAAAAGAAAAGAAAGAATGCTAAGCCAGATCCAAATTGGAGGTGGGATCAAGAACACCAACAAGCCTTTGACACTTTGATGGAGCACTTGACTACACCACCCATCTTTGCTTATGCAGACTATTCTCTTCCATTCGAGGTCCACACAGATGCCAGCATAGAAGGACTCGGGGCTGTTCTGTATCAGAAACAAGAGGACAAGATGAGAGTGGTTGCCTATGCTAGTCGAGGATTAAGGAAAAGTGAAAGGAACTACCCTGCTCATAAACTGGAGTTCTTGGCACTCAAATGGGCAGTCACGAACAAGTTTCACGAGTACCTTTATGGGAACGAGTTTGAAGTTAAGACTGACAACAATCCTCTGACATATGTCTTAACCTCTGCCAAACTCGATGCTACAGGACACAGATGGCTTGCTGCTCTCTCAGCATATGATTTTATCATCACCTACCGTGCCGGTAACACTAACAAGGATGCTGATGGATTGTCAAGGCGGCCAGATTATTCAGAGAACAGACAGGAGATAAAACAATCAGTCATCAAGGCCATCTGCCAAGCTCACCAGACCTCATGTGTTGCTGCTGAGAGTCTCTCCTGTGATGTTGATGTTGTGTGCCCAGATGAAGTATTCCCACTGGCTCCATCATCATTGTCTTGGCAGCAAGAGCAACTAAGTGATAAGGTACTACACTTCTACAACCTTGGACACAGACCAACAGCTCGTCAGCGCTCTTTGGAGGATCCAACAGTCAGAAGGTATCTTCATGAGTGGGACAAGTTGGTTGTGAAGGAGGACGTCTTGTATCGACAGCTGCAGAGTCCAGATGGGACAGGGCTCCAGCTAATATTGCCAAAAGAGAGAATACCAAGTATTCTTAGGTCTCTTCACAATGACTCTGGACACCAAGGACGGGATCGAACTCTCAATCTTATTCGATCTAGATTCTTCTGGCCTGGAATGTCTGATGACGTTGAGGAGTATGTGAAAAGCTGTGGAAACTGCATAAGACGCAAATCTAAGACCACTGTGAAAGATGCTGGACTCGTGAATATCAAATCAGCACAGCCACTGGAACTTGTGAGTCTAGACTACCTAAAGCTCGAGGAATCCAAGGGAGGTTATGAAAACATCTTAGTCATAACAGACCACTTTACCCGTTATGCCATTGCTATCCCAACTCGCAACCAATCAGCCAAGACCACAGCAAGAGTACTATTTGACAATTTCCTAGTACACTACGGATTCCCAACTAAACTCCACAGCGACCAAGGAAGAAACTTTTAGGGGAATATCATCAAAGAGTTGTGCCAGCTAACTGGAATCAAGAAGACAAGAACGACGCCATATCATCCCCAAGGAAATGGTATGACGGAACGTTTCAATCAGACTCTAATGAACATGTTGGGCACTCTTGATGAAGAAAAGAAATCAGACTGGAAAACCTTTGTCTCACCTCTTGTACACTCGTACCATGCAACCCGGCATGAGAGCACAGGATTCACCCCATTCTATCTAATGTTTGGTCGACATCCACGTCTCCCTATAGATGCTTTCCTGGGAACCATAGTGGGAGAAGGACAAGTGAATCACACCCAGTATGCTCAGAATTTAAGGAAACGACTGCGGTTCGCCTACAACATTGCATCCAAGGAAGCTCAGAAAGCAGGCCATCGCCACAAGCACCAGAATGACAAGAAGGCCAAGGAGTCCTATCTTCAATCTGGTGACAGAGTGTTAGTACGACTGGCTGCAATTGGACTCACAGGAAGGAACAAACTCGCTGACAAGTGGGCAAGGGATGTTTACACGATTGTGAAACAGCCAAATTTGGATATCCCTGTCTACTGTGAGAAGCGGCCACAACAGAACTCTAGACGCAGCCAAAAATCAACTTCCCTTCAAGTGAAGGAATACCTTGCTGCTGAAGGAGCTCCTGACGAAGACAGTGAAGAGGAAATGGTACTGTTACCAAGACTTAGGAGTGAAGCAAGATCTAGAGCCCAGTCTGACATTCACATGTCAGGCAACGATCACACTTCCAGTGATCATCCCACTGAGCACAGTTCTTCCTACAGTCTTACCAAGGATTCTCTTGTGTCTTCTGTGTCGGGTGGATCCCCTGAGGACCATCAGACACAGCCAAAGATTCAAGACTCGGGTCCCTTGTACTCATCACCCGATGTTTTGCAAGATCCATCAGTAGCAGCTACATCACCTGATACCAATTCTCATACAGGTTCTGCTCCAGATGATTCGACCTGCCAGTCGTATCCTAGTATATCTGAAGAACCTGTGGATGTTGCAGCCTCTCCTGTTAACACTGTTGGATCTCCTCCAGCTCCATCCCAAACTGACAGTCCAAAGCCGGGGAGGCCTACCCAACGGAGAACATGTCCTGCCTGGATGAGGAGCGAAGAGTGGGTTACCAACTTTGTTTTAACAATGAACAAGCCAGACACAATGAACAAAGTCTTTGTATAGGATCATTTGTAAGATTGTATATAGTTTTGTTCAGCAGTTGTAGTTTGTATGTGTTGCTCAAGTTCTGTGTTTTGCCTGCGTTTTCATTCAATGGGAAGAGCATTATTCAAACCTTTGTTGTTCACTGTGTAAGTTAGTGTGCATCAGTTCCTCCGATGACTTCTCGTTTTTGGATCATTACCCAGCAACCCTTTTCCCAATGACTTCTTCTCATTGGTTCATCCTTTTCAATGTTGGGGACAACATTTTCTAAAGGGGGGGAATATGTCGCCGGCAGCCTTATTTCTACTTTTATCCATCGTAAGGCCGCTCCTCCACTGTCTGCATGTAATGAGTTGTACGTGCTACCCGTACCTGGCTTAACGCCTAATTCACGGGCTTCTACCTGTGACGTCACGGCAATTTGAACGCACAGTCAATTGTCACCTGTCAGCCTGGTAGGATTGGCCGACAGCACTCAACACTTTTCTAATGTTGACGTTTCATGTTACAGTAAGCATCTTCCTTATAAATGCCTTCTTCATCTATATCTTATTGCTAGTGTATCAATTATAGGGAATATACTACTTAATAACCAATCAAGTAATGTAACTTCAAGTTAGTTAAGAATCGATCGCGTATATTGTAAACATCGCGCTAATTGCTATTACTAACTTAATCACTGCACTAGCATAGCACGTAAGACAGTGTGTGAAAGGAATAACACTATATGTATATATGTTTCATATTTTAATAACATATACCAAAAACACAATGTTATGGATCACTGACTTCGCGCCATAAGTGTGACGTCAGCATATTATCTCATCATAAAAGCACTCTGTGCATAGCCACAGTGCTTAGATATATATTTTGCCTATTTTACTCCCATCATTATTATATACATCATATATAATACGGACAGTCAATTGTCACCTGTCAGCCTGGTAGGATTGGCCGACAGCACTCAACACTTTTCTAATGTTGACGTTTCATGTTACAGGCAAATAAATACATTTTAAAAGAAACTCCGTCTTCAATATTTGTCTGGGACGACTAGAAGCCCGAACCTGCGACATATACAACGCATGAATACATGAGCGGCAACAAAGAAATTGTATGTGTCACATATTGCATTTGATATTTCAACGTGTTGATCGTAAATTGTCATTGTGATCATTGTGCTGAATTTCAGTACCACACGTACGCTTTCGTCACAATATTTTGTAAGCGTTACTTTTTTTGTACATACATATTGCATTATAAGTGCAACATTGAAAACCGGTGTTGAGTCATGGTTGAGAGTGGGCATTGCATTTACATGGGGTTCTCCCATTGGAGACCCGGAAGACACGTGCATCTGTTATTAAATGGCGTAGAGATATGTCATATCCAAGTAGGCGTCTCTGGTATACAAACGTGGTCGTTGATCCCGACATTGGAATAGTGTTGTACCGAATTTAACTGTTCGTGTAGTCTACCTATACAGTTTGGAGGCGACAGTGACACAATATACCTTCAAGACGAGACAGAGGTAGGTGCTTGAAAATATATAAATATTTTAGAAACCTAAAATGATGTTGTTTTTTAAGCCGACGTTAAAACAAACCTCACGCACGCACGCTCCCACCCACCCACCCACCCACCCACCCACTCACTCACTCACTCACTCACTCACTCACTCACTCACTCACTCACTCACTCACTCACTCACTCACTCACTCACTCACTCACTCACTCACTCACTTATAAAATAAAAACAAGCTTAAGTAATATTTCAGCGACATCACGGCAGTCTGTAGATGTCCGAACATGAGCCGGGCAAACCAGGCCGTAGGGTACGATGATACGCAGATCAAACATATTGGATACTTATAAGAGACATTTTTCTCACCAGGAACCCCATGGTTTTGCATCACATGAATGTTTATACAATATGCGTTCCAGAGACTTAATCACATAATCACGTCAGTGTTGGAGCTAAGATCGTTTTGACTTGTAACTTACACTGAAAAATAGAAATAAAAAGAGCAAAGGTTTATATCATATAACTATCTCTTATCAACAATAATATGTTTCTAAAGTTGTACAAATCGTGGGATCGTTTATCGTGTAGTTCATATGTAAGGGCTTTCCTTTAAGATTAAGCTGACATTAAGTGAAATACTATTCAACGGGGCGTCAGACCCAACTCATTCAACTGCAATAGGTTACGGTTAAAAAGCACATCACGATCTCATTCTCAGACCCGCCCATATTCAATTACATGTGGCTGTAATATGGCAGCTGAATTATTTCAGAATCCGAACAATACCCGTCACGGTATGGAAAAGGGCGGGTCTTTGATATACCAGCAAACACCAAAGTGTTCATACGTGAAGAAACTGGATATAGCTGGAAGCGATTCATAAGCGGTCTTCCTGGTTGCACACAGTGATTTGATTGGACATACTCTCAATACATGTCACTGTTGCTGTCTGCACCCAGCACAATCATGCTTGGCATGTTTACAAGGTATCAAATCTATCATACGTAAACAAAGACACACCCGTACAGATATAATCGCTTCTCGTCCCACGATCCTGAAATACTGACACAAATACCGTTAGGCGGTTGATTCACTATTTTCCACGAACTGCTACAGTATTTTGTTTTTATTTCAGACATATTACTAGTAGGAAGTGAGCTAATACGAATCTTAATACTAATTGCGTTTGTGGGATGTACCAGAATGTCAAACTCTAAAGCGCCGTTTTTTGTATTGTGGCGAAATTTAACCTGAGGCGTTATTAGTAGATTGGGGCGGTGGGGTAGCCTATTGTTTAAAGCGTTTGCTCGTCACGCCAAGACCCGGGCTCGATTCCAATGAAGCCAATATCTGGTGTCCCCTCTGCGATATTGCTAAAATATTGCTAAAAGCGGCGTACAACCATATTAACTCACTCACTGCAGTAGATAGTTTCAATTTCAAACCACATGTGTATTTGCCAGAATACTTAGATTACTGATGACCCAAAGCTATACCTGTCTAATAAATTACAGGAACACGAACGAGAAGCGTCACTACTTGAATGCACGTGAACATTCGGGTTAGAATGGAGCTGTAGCAGCCCATTCATGTCGGAAGAGGCGACTAACGGGATCGGGTGGTCACACTCGCTGAGTTGGCTGAACGTTAGTTTCAGATTAATTTGAACTTACCCAGTCGCATTTCTCAAAGCAAACTCAGCCAAAAGTATACGTAGGCTCAGATTTTACCTCTGAGGTTGAGAAGGATCGCGGTTCATTTTTGTCCGTGATCTAAGCGGCATTTGCGAGGAATTCAACTTTGAACTCAGCTTGTTACGAGAAATGCATTTTGCTTAGTCGTCTGAAATGTGAGTAAAAAGTCAGTCTTAGGTCAAAACACAGACTTAAGTTCGCTTCCAGAAATCGGGGCCTGCTGTCATTATTGCAATGTAGCTCTGTTTCTGGAGTGAAAGATTTTTACCTTTTCACATTGGCGCTTTTACTGTGTTCTTTCCTACAAAAATAAACAAAAAATATGATTCTTCAAACTGTGGTTTCCTACAAACAAACGCTTACTCTTTTCATGGAACTTGTCATCTTCCCTAGGCAAGAGAGTTAACTGACTATAAAAGTCCAGTTTCCACCCTTGCCGAACAAGGCTGGTATTATGGAGTTACGTTTTGGCTGGACTAACGAGTCTCAGCATAGTCCAATCAAAATCGCGCATCGAAATCAAAATCCGGTTCGTAAACTTCAGTGCAGATTTCGGTCGATTGCAGGATTTGCAAAGCATGTGCACCGCCAACTCGTTTTCAACAGATATTTGATGTACTTCGCCGATGTAAGGCCCGTTTTTTCACAATATAGATATTGATGATTGATCAGATCTTCGTGACTGGGCGCAACCATTTTGTTGAAACAAATGCAAGTGATGGATTGGTCCATAGAAGGGCCTAAGGGCTTAGAAGGGACATAACTCGTAATAACCACTGGTGGCGCTACGATCGAGCCCAGGAATTCCAGCCTAGTTCGGCAAGGGTGGAAAATGGGCTTTTAAAGTCAGTTAACTCTCTTGCCTCGGGAAGATAGCAACTTGTGTGAGTCCCGGGTGCTTACCCTTTCAATGAACAACTGGTGTCATCAATGATTTTTAGTGATCCATTCATATACGTTTCACGGCAATAGTGCTGTTAAGTCAATTTCCTGGCAGCGTGGAGGGGGATATGACGAGGTCCCAGATTGAGTGACCGCTCCTTGTATTTTTATTGCTAAAAATATGTTATATTCCTTCGGGTTTTTATTTGCCTCTTAGACGATAATTAATAAACCACGAAGGTCTTTATTATATATTAAACATATTTTAAGCGCCAACTCTGCACCTATCATGGTGATCTTATAACTTTTGTTAGTTAAAATGCTTATCCGAGGTATCGGAATAAATTATGTTGAAAAAAGACACTTAATAACCTTGGCCAGCCGCTTCAGGTGAAAGCGGAAGTTTCCTGTTCCGACGTCCGCGCTTTGTCGCCCCTCCCTTCTTTAAGCTATATTTCTTCTGCGGGAAAATCACGAACTTAAGTTCGGTACCCCAGAGTCGATGTTCAGGTAGGCATACAGAAGCTGGTTAGGTAACAGGTGGCTTGATTCGATATCGTGGTAACTTGTAACCTGTGTAGGTTTGTAATACCTTCTGTATATTTAGATCGGGTCGGCTGTGTATTAGACTGACTCATGCTGTGTGGGTTCAACTTTTTATTGCTTATAATTATAGTAAACTACGGTTATAACGAACACGCTTATGACGAACTGACCGATATAACGAACTTATTTTTTAGTCCCGGCCATTAGTTGTATATATGCTGTATATATGCTTCTAACGAACTATGGTTATAACGAACTAAAATAAGTGGTCCCTTTGAATTCGTTATAACCGTAGTTTACTGTACTTAAAGCCTTAGTACTTGGTGGTTTAATGGTGGTTATGGTCTCGTATTAATAAATTCCTTACCAATCTCTTTTATCTATGTCAGTGTGACTGTATTTGTTTTTTTTTCGACGCGTGTGTATACTCACGTTCGCTCCTAACCATTTGTTGAGCATAGGAAAATTAAGTGAATTATTGCCTCGCCAGGTTGTATAATTTCAGAATCTTTATGCATGTATGAAAGGATACACTCCTCAAGGTACACTTTTGAAACAGACAATGGAGTGCGCTTGCTCGTGTTTACAACATATAGTTGTTTTTTACTGCATCAGTAACACGTCAATAGACAGACTGGTGTTATTCATATACACAAGTATCCTGTTCCTTCAAACGTCAGTTTGATGAATATAGCAAGGATGACTGAACTGGTGCATGACATAAGCAACGAGCATTTATCATAGGAAGAGTGAGTGAGTGAGTATGGTTTTACGCCGCTTTTAGCAATATTCCAGCAATATCACGGCGGGGAACACCAGATATGGGCTTCACACATTGTACCCATGTCGGGAATCGAACCCGGGTCTTCGGCGTGACGAGCGAACGCTTTAACCACTAGGCTACCCGACCGCCCCATCATAGGAAGAGAATGTATAGTAACATAATGGAATTATTTCTTGTCACTGTCTGCAGGGGCAGGACATACTACGCATGTATTGCTGAAAGTAATACGCACCATCTGTAGCAGAATGATCTGATCACATGCTTTCATGCCCTTTTTGTAACGCAAAAGCCCAAAATGAAGCAAGGCTAGATTTTCATCAGGTCCAGGATCCCCCATCTCACGGGGGCTCCTTTTCAATTCAAAAGAATTTATTTGTTTCTATCAAAATAATATATTTTCAGAGATTAAGCGTTAGTGTAAGGTTCCCTCTGCAGCTCAGCGAGGACATCGTACAAGGTTTACCCGTTTATACAGCGCGTCTTACACAACGTTTACGCTAAAACAGACTAACTACTCATGTAGCTGAAAGTGATACGCACCATCTGTAGCAGACTGATCACATTTGTTTGAATTTGTTATCTGAAAATTTCCTGATCATGAAAATGTATTTCTGGTGGGATATTTCAAACCTTTTAACCTGGCAGGCTATTTTGAATAAGGATCTTAAAACATATAATTTCTC